ATGGAGTCTGGGAGTGGAGGGAGGAAAGATGACAGGGGACAAGGGTTGCTCCCAGCCCTTTTTCTGCTCCTTCTTTAGCCCCAATGACAGCAGACATGAGCAAGATTCTTGGATGCTCTCCAGGCACCTCCAGGACACGCTCCGTGGGGCAGTGGGGGCTTCAGTTCCCTCTGCGTGGGGCTAAATTAGTGTGACTGCTCTCTAGGGAGCTGTGGTGTAAATGCTATTTGTGAAGCACTTGACAGCTCCCCAGGAAAAGGGCTGGAGAAGCTCCAGGGAGGTTCTTTGCTTTGGATGTTTGCCCTCCATGAGCGTCTCCTTGTTATTCACCCTCCAAGGGTCTAAGTCAGTTCTTGCAGCTGGGGCAAAGGGGCTGCGCAAGGAAGAGTGGAGCCAAAAAAGGAGTGAATCGAACAGAAACTGAAGAAATGCATCTTGCTGTCCCTCAGGGCAAGGAGGCTCTGGGACCTGGACTTGGTCTGAGGGACATCTGCATTGCAGGAGGAAGGTCTTTTCTGCTCATTTTTGTCGTGCCTCCAGCAACAGCCCCTTTGCTGCCTGGCCAGGGCTCCCCTCCGGGCCGAGGCTGCTGGAAAAGCTGGTTCAGTTGCTGCTCCTGTTCTGCAGAATTTGGGACTTTAGCTGCTGATGGGAGGGAGGACCAATGTAGCCACCGGTGACCTCGGCAGGCCGTGGACCCAGCACGGGAATCCACAGAGCTGAGCGCTGCCGGCTCCGAACAAGTAAATAAAGCAGCCCGGAGGAAAGGGCAGGTGATATTTCTCTGAGCAAAATCACCCACTGGAAAATGAAACCTCGCTCTCCTCGCACGGAGCTGCTGCACGTCCCCGCTCCAGGGCGCTCTGATAAGGATATTTTCCACATCGGAAAGGAGCCCGTCAGCCAGGGCTGCAGACCTGGGCTCGGCTTCCCCTCTCCACCCGCTGCTGCATTGCCCTGTCCTACCAGCACGCTGTCCCCAAAGCTCATTGTCCCCAAAGCTCATTGTCCCCAAGTCCTGCTGTCCCCAAGGCTCATTGTCCCCAAATCCTGCTGTCCCCAGGGCTCATTGTCCCCAAGTCCTGCTGTCCCCAGAGCTCATTGTCCCCAAAGCTCACCGTCCCCAAGTCCTGCTGTCCCCAGGGCTCATCGTCCCCAAGTCCTGCTGTCCCCAGGGCTCATTGTCCCCAAGTCCTGCTGTCCCCAAAGCACATTGTCCCCAAAGCTCATTGTCCACAAGTCCTGCTGTCCCCAGGGCTCATTGTTCCCAAAGCTCATTGTCCCCAAATCCTGCTGTCCCCAAAGCTCATTGTCCCCAAGTCCTGCTATCCCCAAAGCTCATTGTTCCCAAAGCTCATTTTCCCCAAAGCTCATTGTTCCCAAAGCTCATTGTCCCAAAAGCTCATTGTCCCCAAATCCTGCTGTCCCCAAAGCTCATTGTCCCCAAATCCTGATGTCCCCAAAGCTCATTGTCCCCAAGTCCCGCTGTCCCCAGAGCTCATTGTCCCCAAAGCTCATTGTCCCCAAGTCCTGCTGTCCCCAGGGCTCATTGTCCCCAAAGCTCATTGTCCCCAAGGCTCATTGTCCCCAAATCCTGCTGTCCCCAGGGCTCATTGTCCCCAAGTCCTGCTGTCCCCAGGGCTCATTGTCCCCCAGCACACCTGGAAGGAGGACTGCCTTCTTCAGGCTGTGTCACGGCAGCCTGAATCCGCTTGGGAATCGGGCTCCTGGGGATTTTACACAGCAGGCTGGCTGGCACGAGGAGAGGAACGTAACACAGGAAAATATACAGCTCTGTATACGCACACATGCACCTACACAATATATTATCACCCCCATTAGTGTTTAAGCATCACTGGAGCCTGTCCCAGAGATTTCTGTTGATGGAAGGGGTCAAAATCAATCCCCACAGGTGATGCCGTTGTCCGACTCTCAGGCAACAGAAAAAAATGGGAATAGAAAAACACGGCAACTTTCGGCAATTAATATAAAGGATTTTAGTGGTTTGACAAATGGGGAGGCTGATATGATTTTTCCAAGCGTGGGAAGAGAATAGCTGGGAAGAAATAGAAAATAAGAGTTGAGAAAATGTCATTAATTTTGGACGTAACTTTTTGTAGCACCATCATAAGAGTATTGTTTCAGCATGCGTAATTGGATTTATTTTAATGGGATAGTGGTGCTGTGGGGGGGGTGTGCAGAGGGACTACTTAAGGCCTGATTCTGCCATGGCAAGAAGTCCTTTCCCCCTTGCCTATGGGTGCAAACCCATAGTAAATAAGAGCAATCACCAGTGATTCAGAGGTGGGTGTGTAATTTTATTCACATGCAGCAACGTGGAAATTGCAGAGACATTGTGAAAAACCGAAATTGATGTTTATGAAGGGCATTTTCTCATCTTGCCCCGTTAATCACAGGCAGGCCTCTTTAGCTCTCAAGCTGGAGAGAACGTTTTTAACACACCGTGCTTCAACAATCCTTGTTTTTTGTTGACTTCGCGGCAGCTGGGTTCCTATGTCGCTCCTGCTCATCTTCATTACCCAGTTTATGGCCTAATGGGTATAAGGGGTGGATAAATCACCAGGGGAGCACGTGTAGATCTTCCACCATCCAGAAGAACGTTGAGCTCTAGACGTCTCCTCAGGTAGAAGCAGACAAATTTGGCTGGGTTGTGGCATCCTAAGAGGATGCTTACATCCAGCAGCCGATGGGTAGTAGTTTCTTACATTTCTTTCAGCGATGACACAGTCGTCACATCCCAGTCAGAGCTAATGCACCGTGTTAAAGACCCATGTGTATATCATTTTCTGTCTTAATTTCTTCTTTCTTGCTTTGCTGTGACTCTTTATATCAGTCTGGGAGTAAAACCATGGGTTACCGCTCCCCAACAGCCCTCCACCTGTGCTTTGACAGTAGGAACAGTTAAATCATGTCTGGGATTTCATATTAAAAAAAAAAAAAAATCAGGAAAAAAGATGTCACCTTCCTTATCAGGTCCTCCAGGCTGGTGTTTTCATGGTGGCCATTGAGTATCACTCGCTTAACCTCACATTGCAGCATTAAGTGATCCATCCTACTGCCTCTCGCAATGGTTATCTCCAGTCAGCACCCCTTACACTGGATTTTTTTACTTATTTATCTATTTTTTGATATTGAGCAAGGGGTTTAAAATTAACTACATGATGTAGAAGGTGTTTTGTGTGGTATTTGTGCTTTTAGGGAGACATGGGTTGCTCTGAAGGTGCCTCTTAGAAACGCTGGTGGAATTTGCTTGCTCTCGAACCGAGTGAATTTGGAAAGGGGAGCTGGGGGAGATGGAGGTGAGGATATCTTCTGCTGGATCCCTGGAGAAGCCGAGCAGGATTTGACCTTCGCATGGCTGTTACATCCCACGAGAGCTGCTCAAGGCTCGGAGCAGCGCCTGGGCTGACGTTCATACAGCTGCACGTTGGCTACACAGCAGAGGGGAGAGCCAAGCACCTGAAACAGGTCGAGCTGAAGTTACAATATGCTGCAAAACCCACGAGAGCTCCTCCAAACAATCACAGCAAACCCCAGAGAAACCGTAATTGCTTCTAAACTCCAGCTTTTTAGCAAGACCGAAGGCAGAAAGGGGTTGCAACAGCAGCAGCAGTCAGGACGTTCAGCTGAGCATGACCAGCTAGGGATGGAAAATGCTGGTTTAGCAGGGTCAGACCTACTGGACCCATCTCTGGCTCGTGCCTGGGTTTACCCCCTGAGCTCCTGCAAGGGCCCAGACTCTCATTTGCCCAGTGCGGACCAGTTTGGGCAGGGCTGCTCTTTCTCTTCCTGATATTGTGAGAAACAGCACACACTGGTGACCCCCCCCCCCCCGGTTTCTTCACTCTCGTGCACTTATAAATGAGCATAAAGATCTTTTCCACTGGCAGGAGGACAGCAATCTAGATTCTCTAACAGAACCCCACGCGATAGATGGAAATAGATGTCTTATTTCCAGTGGTTTATTATCCATTTGAGAAGGTTACTTCACCCCAGGTGCATTTTTCCTGGAAGTACCCAAGCAGGAAAGGAAGATATGTGAGGCTCAAAGACTCCTGTGTCTATGCTCTTCCTCTTCCCAAATTGTCTCCCTTGAAATAAAGGACAAGTTTATTTGGGCTTTGTGTGTTCACGTGCAACCCTACAGGAAAGCCCTGCTCCACAGCGAGCCCAGAATTCCGGATTGTAAACAGGAGGGGAAGGATGAGGGGAAGGGAAGGGAAGGGAAGGGAAGGGAAGGGAAGGGAAGGGAAGGGAAGGGAAGGGAAGGGAAGGGAAGGGAAGGGAAGGGAAGGGAAGGGAAGGGAAGGGAAGGGAAGGGAAGGGAAGGGAAGGGAAGGGAAGGGAAGGGAAGGGAAGGGAAGGGAAGGGAAGGGAAGGGAAGGGAAGGGAAGGGAAGGGAAGGGAAGGGAAGGGAAGGGAAGGGAAGGGAAGGGAAGGGAAGGGAAGGGAAGGGAAGGGAAGGGAAGGGAAGGGAAGGGAAGGGAAGGGAAGGGAAGGGAAGGGAAGGGAAGGGAAGGGAAGGGAAGGGAAGGGAAGGGAAGGGAAGGGAAGGGAAGGGAAGGGAAGGGAAGGGAAGGGAAGGGAAGGGAAGGGAAGGGAAGGGAAGGGAAGGGAAGGGAAGGGAAGGGAAGGGAAGGGAAGGGAAGGGAAGGGAAGGGAAGGGAAGGGAAGGGAAGGGAAGGGAAGGGAAGGGAAGGGAAGGGAAGGGAAGGGAAGGGAAGGGAAGGGAAGGGAAGGGAAGGGAAGGGAAGGGAAGGGAAGGGAAGGGAAGGGAAGGGAAGGGAAGGGAAGGGAAGGGAAGGGAAGGGAAGGGAAGGGAAGGGAAGGGAAGGGAAGGGAAGGGAAGGGAAGGGAAGGGAAGGGGCGTACTGCTGATGAATAATTCAGCAAGGGGCGTGGCCACACGCACGCCCCGCCCCGCCCCGCCCCGCGCCCCGGAGCGCAGCTGGCAGCGCGTCCCCGCGCCCCGCTCCGCGCATCGCTCCGCGCCCCGCGCATCGCCCCGCACCATGGCTCTGCTGCTGCACCTCCGCACCGTCTCCGGCCTCCGCGGCAAAGCCGATCGCATCGCCAAAGCGGCTTTCCGAGGTAGCGGGAAGGAGGGGTCGCGGGGGGGGGGGGTGGATACTCGCCGGTGGTGGTGTCCCTGCCACCTGCCTCAGTTTCCCCATCGCGGCCGTGCTTGGATTGGGATGGGGGAGATGCGAGCCGCCTGGCTTTAAGTGCTGCCTGCCCCCCCCCAACTGCTTTTTTGGGGTCCCCCTGCCTGTTTGCACCCCGCTTGGGACTCTTCAGCCCCCCCCACACACACACCCCCACCCCTCCACGGGCAGCCCCTGGGGAGGGGGGATTCATCCAGGGGAAAGTAGGTGAGGACCCAGGGTGACCCCCCCCACACACACCCCACCGCAGGAGCGGGTCGGGGTCCTGCCGTAGGGTCATGGGCTTGGTCACAAAGCTGTGCCACCAAAAAAGCGTCCCTGGCAGGGCCAGGAGGAGAACTTGCCTTGTGCCGGGACCCAGCGTGTGCCCGGAATTCTTCTTCTAAAGATGCTGCAGCTTTGCTTTTCCTGCTCGGATCCTCGCCGGCTCCAAAGCTTCCCAAGGGAAGCTGCAAAAGGAGCGAAAACTCGCCGGGGGTGCGTCCCCTCAGCAGCACCCAAACCTTTCCCAAGCCCCCCGGGGTGGGAGGGAGCTTTTGGGGAAGGCTCGGCGTGAGCCTGCGGCGTGGGGCCGGATCCGTCCTCCAGCGTGCGGGAGCCCACGGGTGGGCAGAGGCGGGTGTGTGGGATGGTTCGGGAGCCGTGAAGAGCGATCCCTTCTCTCGGCAAACACGCGGCGGGGGGAGCAGGGCAGCGGGTATTTTCATCAGCTTCAAGCCAGGCCAGCCAGCGTGGCCTGAAACGGCCTTCCCTGGTCTGCCTTAACGACTGTAGGTTCATTAAAAAGGTGTAATTATCCCCTTATTTCCCTGTCCCTGCCTCCCAGCAGCAGCGCAGGGGCTGTTAAATAACCTCTGTGGGAATAAATCTTGCACCCCCGGCCGATGGCAAAGGCTGGAGCGGTCCCAGCCCTAAGCCACCCGGGGTGAACCCCCCCCCTCCACCTCGGTGAGCCCCAGCAGGACCCACATTTCCAGCCCTGAGCGTGCCTGGCCCCGAGCCCAGCACACAGCCCCCCCCCCAGACCGTCAGGATCTGTCCCTGCTGTGACATCTTTGCGTTAAGAGCCACCGTGAGACCCGGCCAGGCACGGGGGATGACACCCACGTTGAGGTGCTTTGGGGTGCTCCCGCTGCACCCACCCTCTTATGCTCCTGCCAGTTGCTTTGTCAGAGCCCTTGTGGGGCACCCGGGACATTTCTCCAGGCCCTCCCCTCCATCATCCCATCTCCATCATCCTCCCAGGCGCGAGCTGGTTCCTGCGCGGTGCAGAATTGCTATCGCTGTCACACCATCCAGGGAGGGTGACACTAAATCTCACAGCCGTGTTTCTTTCCCCAGCCTTGAGCTGGGAGGAGCTGGGCTCCTCGTGGATGTTCCTTTCCCAAGGAAGAAATTTGGTGTTTTTTTTCCTCGAGGACAGCTGGGTCAGGGTTCGGATTTTTTTTTTTTTATTTTTTTTTTTTTTTTCTTTTCCCCCTGGTAGTTTGCCGCTGTGGATTTCTGTGCAAGGAGGGGGTTTAGTGTCACGCTGTGAAGGCAGCAGTGTCACCGATACCTGCAGGTGGGGATGCCTCTTCCCCTGCTCGTCCTGGAGCTCATGACCGGGACAACCCCATGCTGGGAAGTCCAGGGGCAAATCCCCTGGGGACCTCTTTGACACGTCGCGGCATCGTTTTGGGTTGTGGGAGAGCACTGAGCCTGGGATGCCGGCTAACACGAGGCGTGAATCCGGGTCAGGACCTTGTTCTGGATGAGGGGACCGGAATTATCACACCGTGAGGATACGTAAGCAGTACGATCCTTATGGAAAGGTGATCTTTCTTGCACACCATGGATTTCAACAGTTGTAGTAGTAGTAAGATAGGAGTTCTCACGTGCTCTTGGATTTTTCTTGCCGTGCTTGGTGGTACCTGTGAAGATTGGCTCCTGCCAGATTGCTAATCTCTCTGGATGAGGCAGGGCTGGGTCCCTGGGCTGGACCTGCACCAGCGAGCAGCTCCTGACACCCATCCCTGAGGGTGCACAAGCACCACCCTGCACGGCGAGCAGTCTTCCCTGCCTCCCCTCGGGGTACAGCCACGGTGCTGGGCTACCCCCGGGCTGCGTGAGCACATCCCGGAGCCGGGAGCTGGGGCTGCTCCCACACTGGAGGTGGCTCTGAAGCATCCCAGCACCCTGCGCGCAGGCTGGCGCAGAGCTCCCCCGGCGTTTGGTGTCTCTGTGGCTCAGGCAATGCTCTGCTGTCCCCTTGCCCCGTGAGAATTTGGGATTGATGGGAGCGGAGTCAGGCCACGGGAAGCCAGACGCTGCTGTGAAGCTGTGTTGTTTGGCCTGTCGGCTGCCTCATCCCTCTCGCACGGGCTCTTTTAATCACTGGCTGTATTTTTGCTGTTTGATTAACACGATGCTGCGCCGTCGCTGCCCTGATGCCCATCCAGGCTGGCCATGGCTCTTCCCTCCAACCAGAGCCCATCCAAACTGCCCCAGGGCTGCCCAGCCCTGGGCTGGGATAGGATGGGATGGGACAAGATAGATTCAGGCACATTGGCCTGGACCCTCGGTGCCAGACCCAGGGGAAGATCGCGGTGTGGGTGGTTGGGTTTCGGTGCCAAGGTCTCTCGAGGGAAGTCTCCTGCCTTTCCCCAGTGACTCTAGAGGGAGATTTAGACCCCTGGAGCAGGGAGTGAGGTGACCCCCCACCAGCCTGGCATCCCTCAGCGCTCCCCACAGTGGCTCATAGGTTGAGTGTGGTGCTGACACTCCTCACTACCCTGATTTTCCTGGGGTTACTGAGCGTTGCAGAGAGGGATGCTCTTCGCTAGTCAAGCTGCCCCCCAAGCCTTGTCGCGCTCCTCATCCACCGGCAGCACAGCCTGGGGGTTCAGGCAGAGCTCCCCAAGTGGGTGTTCGCTCATTGAGCCAAAAGCATCTGTCATTGCACAAAAAGAAGTTAAAGGAAGAGTTTGACTGCAGGGTGACAGGCTGCCACGTGCGTTTCTGCAGGTGGGCAGCGCGCTGAAACGCTGCTCGACTTCAGCTCAGGTGGGAAGAAGAATAAATCACAACCTTGATGAAAGCTTTTCTGGGAAAAGGCTGAGACTGACAGCCGTGTGGGATGGCTATGGAGTAACGCTGCTCCTGCTCTCCCAGGGATGCCCGCGCTCCCAGCAGCGCCGCACTGTTTGCATTTTGCAAATCGGAGAAACTGAGGCACGGGCAGGAGCTCCCGGTTCTGGACCCAGGGGAGCAGGCAGGGAGAGGTGCCAGGTTGTCCAGCTCCTCATCTGGGAGCGGAGGGGAGAGGTGGGCTCTGCTCCAGCAGCGTGGCCTGAATCCACTCCCACCCCCGAGTGTCAGGGACTCGTCCCCCACCATGGCCTTGGCTTTGACTCACCAAACTCCCCAGGAGCCCTCGTACCCCAAGATGTTGGGAGGTGTTAACCAACAAGATCCCTTCTTGCCTTTATGACCCTCCCAGTTGTTCAGGGGGGGATTTGGGGCTGGTTTTGAGCTTTCAGTGACACGGAAGCCACCCACCACTCCACAGCAGCTGCCCCGGGCATGCTCCAGCCTGGCTGAAAAGGGCTCCCAAGCCCCAGATCAGTCGCTCTTGCACCTCTCCAGCTCTTCACCTCTTTGCTCTGCGGGTGAAACTCAGGGATGGCTCCAGGCTTTATCTGCAAATACTTGCTCTTCAGGCTGGCTGCAGGGGGAAGAGCAGAAAAACAGTGAATTTTTTTCAGCCTGCCCTTTTTTGGGGGATGCCTGCTGCTGTCTGAGCTCATACAGGGTCACTCGCCCACTGCAGTTTTCACTCTTACACCAGCTGAATTGCATTTGTGAAGGTGCCCTGGCGCAATTAGAGGGCTTGTCAGCTAATTGGTCACAGATGGAGCTATAAAGAGCTTCTTGGCGAGGCTTTCTCTCTGGATTAGTGTGTGTAAATGAGGGAGATCCTTCACAGATACCTCCTGGAACACCACCCGGCACCGGTGGATAGTGATACCGCTGCAACGAGACATCGTCGTGATGCTCGCTGGATTGGGAGAGGACGGGGCAGGGGGTGAGACGTGCTGATTTGTCTTAAGTCATGCTCTGAGGAGAAATATTTTGGGTGGTAGATTGTCCCCCTTGGGGTGTCTTCTCCCAGATTGTGCTTCCCCCCCCGTGCGTTCGCTTACGGCTGATTCACCCCCTGAGCTGTGTGTGTTTGGTCCCGTATCGGCGTGAGGATGGAGCTCGCACTGGCGCCGAGATGCTGGTTGTGCCTCTGGCATGTGGTGCCCACCTCCTCACCTGGGGGGGGGTGTGGGGTCCTATAGAATCATTGAGTTATGGGGTGGGTGGGAAGGGACCTTAAAAATCATCCAGTGCCCCCCCCTGCCCCGGGCAGGGCCCCCTTCCCCCAGCCCAGGGGGCTCCCAGCCCCGTCCAACCTGGCCTTGAACCCTTCCAGGGAGGGGGCAGCCACAGCTGCTCTGGGCACCCTGGGCCAGCGCCTCACCCCCCTGCACAGGGAACAATTTCTGCCTCAGATCTCACCTAAATCTGCCCTTTTTCAGTGCAAAACCGTCCCCCCCTCGTCCCATCCCCACCCCCTGACCCAGAGTCCCTCCCCACCTTCCCTGCCCCCCCTTTAAGCCCTGGGAGGCCACTCTCAGGGTCCCCCCGGAGCCTTCTTTTCTCCAGGCTGACCCCCCCCAACTCTCTCAGCCCGGCCTCCCAGGGGAGCTGCTCCAGCCCCCCCAGCATCTTTGTGGCCCTACTCTTGGTGGCTGCATCCCACTGCAGCTTCCATCCCACCCCACAGGCTTCATGGGTCTCATCCACCCTCACCTGGAGTCGCCTGGCATGGCATAAATACAGTGCTTTGCCTCTATCCCCGAGAAATTCGTGCATCCATGGGCGAAGTGATTCATGACGGGGGATTGGGAGGGTGGTTTGGGATGCAGGATGCACCTTCTAGGTCAGCTTCACCCAGGTCGGATGCTGCAGACACCAGAAAGTTTGACAAAATGATTTTCTGGCTCTCCTTGTGTAATAGTTAAATTAGAAAGAGATGGGGCATTCCTTGCCATGTCATCAGGACACCTCAATTTTTGGTAAAATAAAGTAAAAGTTGACCCCACAGCACTGGGGGGTGCCCTGGCATCCACTTGCCCTGACCACAGGTTGTCTGTGCAATGCCGGGCCCAAAGCAGACTCACGTACAGAGATGTTTTTAATTACCCAGGAGACAGTTTTCTTTTCTGGAAGGGAAAGCCTCAATGAGATTCGGTGATTAAATATTAGCGTTTTTATAAATTTTCCTCCTCCAGTGTTATGAAGTGGTTATTAACTAGAAATATTGATGCAGGGGGGGTATGGGTGGGTAAGGTTATCCTACTGATACGCACGGGGTGACCTATGAGCTGAGGGTCCTGGGGTAAAAACGGCTTATTTCAGTAACTAACGCACATGTTTGGCTGCTCTCCCGGGGCTCGAGGAGCCCCAGTTCCACCAGTATAAAAGTCGCTGCCAAAACCGCCGCGATCCCCGTAGGTCCCCAAATACATGGGACAAGACTCGAGCGCGCCAGCTGAGCGCCCTGCAGAAAAATCTTCCTCGTTACCTCTGGAAGCTGGTTAACGTTGTGTTGGGTGCTGGGGTGGGGGAGCTGCGGCTGGATTCACCCATTTTGGGTGGGCTGTGGGCCCTCTGCCCCCCCCCCCCGCCCCGAGTTCCACACAGGCACACGTGCCCACGGTGCTCCCACACCTTTGCAGACACATTTCCCCACCCCAGGCAATTCCCACGGGTTGTGGTGCGGCGAGGCCACCCCCGCAGACCCCGACCCCGGGGGTCTCGCCGCTGCTGTGCAGCCCCCCCCTCGCCCCCCGCGTCTGCCACCACGGGTGCTCCTCGCCGCAACCAACGCGTTTCTCCTCTCCCTTCTCCAGGGCTCTCCTTCTACACCCGAGTGCTTGAAAACTGCGAGGACGAGGCCAGGTTTGACGAGGTAAGACGTGACGTGTTTTCCTCCTGGTCTCTCGCATACCTGGGTTGCTTTGCCACGGCTCCTTTTCCGGATGAACATCCCCGCGCCCTAATTTAAGTGTGTTGGCATCCTTGTCTGCTCTGGGGTGTCTCTCGGCAGGTACCAAATGGGTCTCTTCTCTTGGCCGTGCTCTGGCTGGGGCTGAGGACACGGGGTGTCCTGTGACGCGGGAACAGCCCTGCAGCACTTCCCCGTGGGGTGATTCATTGGAGGGAAAAAAAAAAAAAAAAAAAAAAATCCACCTTGTTGGCACTAAAAATTTGGGAAAAATTGCTTGTCTCCCCTGGGCACATCCTGCGGGGCTCTTGGCTCTCCTTTTCCTTGCCTCAGGGGGAAAAACTCCCCCTTGTTTCAAATCCGCAGTGCCTCGGTTGTTGACGCTCAGCCCGTCAGCCCCCCCTGCACCCCTCGGCTCGCGCTGGGTACCAAGCCAATCGATCTGCCTTGGGTGCTGTATCGGCCCTCAGCGCTCGGCTCTGGGCTTGGAGAGGGAGAGAGAAGGAATTGAAGCCCAAGTTTAATGTGGTTTTAAAATCCAGTCTTTTCTTAAGCAGACACCAAGAAAATATTCTGAGATGACTGAAATAAGGTCACCCACCCAGGCAGGGAATAGAGGTGCCTCTATGAAGTCACATTCAAAATGGAAATCTGCTTTCATAAGAGAATAGATGTTTCTTTGATTGCTTTGTGTTTCTCATAGAAGATAACCCATTCCCAGGGGCTGCAGAATGCAAGAAGCTATGAAGAATATAAAGATCTTTAAATCGTTTATCACTTTCCACCTGTAGAAAATAAGGTTTCATCCTCGTTCCAGGCACGGGATTGTGTTGGTGGGGGGACAAATCTCGTGGTGTTCCCAGCTTGCGTGACCAGAAGCACACCTGGCTCCTCCCTGCCCCTCTGCTGCCCTGGGATGGGTTAGTCCTTGTTCCAGGTTTTAGGGGAAGAGCTTAATCTCAGGCTCCCGGGGATTCAGGGGTAGGGAAAGCCCAAGGCATGGGTAGGGTGGGATGTGCCCCCGATAGCTCCAGCGTTGCACGGGATCGGTGAGGCTCAGCAAGAAGGATGCTGGAGATGCCTCTCCGACCACGCTCCTACAAAGCCGAGGCAGCCGGGGGAAGCTGCTGCTGTTAATGGGATGCAGATTTCTAGAGATCTGCACACAACAATTTGTGAGTATAATAGACTGATTTGAATAACAACCACGGCGGAGTGCACTGGTGGAGCTGCCTCTGCCTCAAAACTCTGTGATTTGAATGAGGAGATCCTTCCCTGCCAGGGTTGAAGGGCTGGAGGCTCCGTTGGCCGTCTCGGGCTTGGTGGGATGCCAGATGCCAGCTGCTCCCAGTGCTTGGTGCTGCACAGTGGTCCCGGAGCATCCCAGTGGAGCTCAGAGAATCCCAGCCAAGCTCGGAGCATCCCAGCGGAGCTCAGAGTGTCCTGATGGAGCTTGGAGCATCCCGGTGGAGCTCGGAGCATCCCAGCCAAGCTCGGAGCATCCCAGCGGAGCTCAGAGCATCCCGGTGGAGCTTGGAGCATCCCAGCCAAGCTCGGAGCATCCCAGCAGAGCTCAGAGCGTCCTGATGGAGCTTGGAGTGTCCCAAGCAAGCTCGGAGCATCCCGGTGGAGCTCGGAGCATCCCGGTGGAGCTCAGAGCATCCTGATGGAGCTCGGAGCATCCCAGCGGAGCTCAGAGCATCCTGATGGATCTTGGAGCATCCCAGTGGAGCTCAGAGCATCCCAAACAAGCTCAGAGCATCCCGGTGGAGCTTGGAGCATCCCAGCCAAGCTCGGAGCATCCCAGCAGAGCTCAGAGCATCCTGATGGAGCTTGAAGCATCCCAGCCAAGCTCGGAGCATCCCAGCGGAGCTCAGAGCATCCCAAACAAGCTCGGAGCATCCCGGTCAGGCTCGGTGCATCCCAGCCAACTTAGAGCCCTCCATGGTCCCAGGCAGAGTGCAGGGGAGGATGGGCATTGCTGCATGTCAGGAGGACAAGGATTATATTGCTTTAAAGGCAGCGGGTATAAGAAAACCTTGAGCCAGAGGTGTATATTAACGTGCACCGTATTTTTTTCTAGTGCCTTTTGCTGCATCCGTGGGATGGGTCCGAGGCTGCCCCCGTCTCTGTTTAGGTCATGTTTGTCATGGGTCCTGCTGGGAGAGCCTCATGTAAACCTGATTAAAACCAGCTTGGTAGTATCGACACAGTGAGTTGCAGCAGAGCAAGACAGCTCGCTTTGGAGCAACCTCGCAGGCCCGGACCAAGCTTTGGGCTCTTCTCGTCTCCTTGCACTGGGTGCCAGGCGATGCCTCGGCAGCAGCCGGGCTGTACCCAGCCCCCCGCTCCCCCCACTGCAAATATCCTGATTTTTCTCATCAACCACTTGGCTCCAGCCGGAGGAAACTCCAGCGTGAGTCAGAAGTTGCTTTGCAAGGGGGACCAAGGTCAGGATGTAGCCCTGGCACAGATGACACGTGTGCAGCTGCTGGTTGCTCCAGGGCTTGGGACCTGCCAAAAATGAGTAATCCCCGTGGGCTTTAAGTTAAGCACGTTCTTAAGTCTTTCCTGTGCGAGTAGGAGAGTGTTCATGGCCTGAGCATCTGCCCCACCAGTCAGGTTTTTATCCTTTGGGTCATGCAAGGTCTCTGCAGCACCTATCAGATGAGCACAGACGCACCCTCCCTCCTCATGGCGTGGGGCAGAGCACAAGGCACAGCAGAAGACGGCAGAGGTGCAGTCCTTTTTCCTCTTCCCCTATTAAATCTCTCATGATCTCACGCTGCTGAAGGATTCCCTGATGCAATGGCCATGGGCAAGAAACCTGCCAGGAACTAGGGAACGCGTCGGGTTGGAGTAATTAGCTGACGAGGTTATTTGGGAAAGCAGATATTTCCCTTTGAGTGTACACACAGGGCAAGTCATCATGGCATTGATGACAAGCCCAGCTGACAAATTTTATGGAATAAAATTTTATTATTGCATCACCGCAGCCCTCAGCTGCTCCCCAGCTATTCCCCCACACGGTGATGTCCCACGGGGATTTGTTTGATGTGCACGTGGGGTCTGTAATCCTTGTGCTGCACAGAACTGAGCTGTCTTCTAGGTGAGCCCTGATGGCTGGAGCAGCATCAAGGGGTCTGCCTGGGGACACTGCGAGTTTGGGGCAGGTGAAGATGAGCAGGAGGGTCTGCTTGCCCTCCAGTAGTTCCCCTGCAAAAGCAGATTTATTTCCTCTTCAGCTTCCTAGTTTTCCTTGGATTTTGCAAAAAAAAATAATACCAGTGGGATGAGAGGCAGGGTCTTATTTCACATTACTCTCCAGTTACCCTCCTAGTGCTCAGGCGGCTCCTTGCACTGATCATTTATGAACCAGAAGCTTCAGAAATGACCCCGTTTCCTCCCGCTTCCCCCTCGAAATGGGGTAAAATGGTGACCCTGTGTCTGGAGGATGATTTGGATGGTGGGGGATGGCTCATCCTCTGTGTGGAGAAGGCTTTTGAAGCTGAGCTGGCTCAGCTCTCATCTCTGTGAGAGGAGATGAAACGGGCTGAGGATGAAGAGGATGCTCCCTGCCTCATCTCAGAGCTGGGGACAAGCAGAAAATTCACCTCAGGTTCATGTAAAGCCCAAGGTTTTTTTGATGGTGCTAACGAGGACATTATCTTTCCTTGCCACCACTTAACATTCATGAGAATCCACTACCAGGCTGAATTTGGGCTGCCCCAGTGGTTTCCATTTGCTTGGTTTCACTCTATTTCTTTTGCAATTATTTTTATTCATTGCTTAATGAATTATGCAAGGCCTGTGCTTCTCCAGAGCCTGGGGAAAATGAGCTGCTGGCTATTCCAGAGGGTATGTATGGCACTACAGCTGTATTTTACTTAATCAGAGGTGGCTTCATCGTGTCCTGCCTGCACCCCAGAGGGTTTCTTCTTGGAGGGGCTTGTCCTGCAGCAATCCCGCGGGCACTCCGGGGAGGGAAAGGGATTCCAGTGATGGTGCTGGGCTTGGAGAGCTGTGGATGGGTGCTCTGGGGTCCTCCTTGCCCACATTCAGTCTCTCCTAGAGGCACCAGGACAGGCTTGGGTGCTGCTGCCAAGAAAGCCAAGACCCAGAGCTGGAGCCTTGGCCTGAACATCTGGAAATGCCCCTGATTAATTAGGGTTGGAGGTGACAGGCAGGCTGAGCATCCAGCCAAGGCTCCCAGGTGCTGCAGAAAAAGGGGAGATGTCTTAAAAAGGAGACATGTCTTAAAAAGGGATAAGAGGGGGGCCATGGCTTGCAAAGATGCATTTTCCCAGCTCCCTTAAAGCAGTCTCACTGGAAGTGTTGCTTCTGCATTCTGCCAAGGCATTTCTCTGCCTCTGTGGTTGCTGGTTATTTTTTGTTGGTTGTTTTTTTTTTTTTTTTTTTAATTTGTTCATTAAAACAGATCAAATTGACCCAGCAGAGATCACTTGCTTAGCTCTGCGGAGGGCTTTGAAAAAAAAGGCTGTTAACACTAAAACCAGCAAGGAGAATCAACAGGCAGCCCGCTGGGGAAGGAGGAAGGGCAGTGAGAGCAGGGAAGCCTTTGGGAACAGCCCCGGCCCCGAGCAGCCGCGGTGGTGGACGCGCTCCCGGGCCGGGGCTGAGAACATCCCACGGGTGTTCAGGATGGTGCTGAGTCCCACGCTGAGAGCTGCTTGCTATCCACCCCGCTGCTGCCAGCGGTGTGGGCTCTGTCAGACGCTGCTCCAGCTCCCCACCCCCTCCCTCCCCCCCAACATCTGGCCTAGCTGTCCCCCAGGGATGGCTTTGTCCTGAAGTGTCCCGGAGGTTGAGGGGGCAGCAAGGGCTCCTCCAGTCCTCCCAGTATAACCAACACCCCCCCCCCCCCCATCACAACAGCGTCTGGTGGCTCAGGATCTTCACTTTCTGTGGATCCCTCGAGCCTGGGTTGCCACTTCTCACCTCTT